GAGCCTGTTCCATTTGTTTTGCTTTTCTTTAAGTTTCCCGGGTTGTTTTCTTGCTCTCCTATGTGGTAGGAACTCAGCCATTGTTCTATGTAGCGCGCAAGGAAGAGATGGCATCTGGTTTGCGTTAGTGACATGAACTCTGCATGACATTTGCATGTTTGATGTAAATCTGCTCTTCCAGGTGTTAGGTCCAGAATTACACACAGGCCTTGGCTGCAGAGGTGGGGGTGGCAGGAGAGGGCGAGAGAGATTGTGTGTGTTGTTTTTTTCAAGGTGTCCACAGGACTGTGCGGTCACAGCCGGTCGGAAGGTAACTGGTGCAATGCGCTGACCCTTCAATACCCAGAGGACGGCATTGCTCTCTCGCTTAGTGGGTGTAGTTAGGGGGCAGGATAAACAGGGCCGTTAGCGAGTGGGGAAGTCTTTAGTATTTATGCGTTTCCACCCTGTGAGGGGAACTGAACTGGAGGGATTGATTTATGATGGGAGGTGAGACGAATGAAGGATAATTTGGGTAGGTGATGTCTCAGGGGACGTGGTCTGACGACAGCCTGCAAGTGTCGGAGAGATGCGAACGCCACGGAGGGAATTGCTGGGGGTGGGGGTTCCCAGGTGCAGCTGTGGGCCTGCCCTTCCACAGGGTTTCTCAGGGCCTGGCTCTGTTACCCTAAGGCCTCTTCACACCACCATGGCAGCATCCAGGGGCCATAAAGTGTAAATGTAAATTACCTGCCCTGGACTGTCGTGTCCTGCTGTCCAAAGCTTTCTGAAAGCCAGGGGAGTAAACAGTGGGCACTCGGCATCTGCACCAGCCGTCCATCTGTTTAACAAAACTGTCAGCTCTGTCCTGCCATGCCCCAGTCTGTGCCGGCTTTCGCGTTTCGAAATGTCTCCATGGACCATTGGTCCCAGGTGTCCCTCTGTGGAGCGCAGCGTACGTACCCAAGCAGATCTGCAGAGGTTAGCTGGCAGACTCTGTGGGACGAGGCCGTCCCTGGCTTTTCAGCCATGTGTTACTTCTCCAGTCGAGTGGTTGAATTGTTTCATCCTTGGCCTTTCTGCCCTTTGTGGGTGTCCCCCGCCTCTCCCGTGTCTGGGCCAATGATTGCCTCCACTCTGTCACCTCCATAGGACACACAAGTGCATCCTCGAGGGATGTGCTGTTCAAAAGCCCAGTGTGGATGTGAAAGATCTATTGCTGCAGCTACCGCTAGTTTATTGCTCTGCTGCCTGTTGGCCTTGCTGGGTTTGCCGGTGCAGTTTAAAACCCAGGTTATTTGTCACTCGTCTCTCTAGCTGGGAACTGCGTTTCCATTTCCCCCGTTGAACACCCCCTCGACATTCCATCTGTTTGACATAAAACCCTGACAGTGCTGCATTGCCTCCTGGACGCCGTCTCTGCCTTTGCCCGGGCCGAGCCTTCTCCGGTGGCTGCTGCTCCCGCTTCCCAAGCTCGGTGAGAAATCTGTCCGGGGAGCCCTGAGCAGTCCTGCCCTCCCCCCCCCCCCAAAAGGGGAAGCCGTGTCTGAGCAAGTGCGAGCAGCGTAGGAGGCGGGGAAGAGGCGTGCGTGAGGGGCACGGTGTTTGTGTTTTTCACAAGTCGTTGAATGCCCAGGAGCCCATTGGCAGAGCTTTCCGGTGCCTGAGGGACGGGATGCAGCGATGACCAGATCCCTTGTGACGTGGCTTCCATCGCTGGCTCCCTCTCCCCGGGAGAAAGCCAGAGGGAAACGTAAAGACAAATGCAGGGTTGTTGGGCTTTCATTGGATCTCCCTGAATGCCTTTATCCCAGTGTGGAGCCAGTCGGGTGCACCATTCCCCCCGATATTCAATGGCTTTGGCTGTGTCGCGGCTCGGGCCTCCCCTCAGCTTTACAGCCACGTCGTCATCAGGGAAGAAGGGCGTGGCCTCCCAAGGGTTACCAACCCCTCCCTCCAAGTGACTCTGTGGTCCTTAACGATATACAAAAACTAAGAAGTCCCCGTGAGGACAGTCTTTTACATGGATATGCTCCCCGGCCCTAGGGATCTTCTGACCGCGGCGCACCGGCTGACAGAGGGAAGGGGGACCAGGGCCCTCCCTCACTCCAGGTCCCGACCCAGGACCCTAAAGACGGGGTCGTGGGTTTCCTGTCCGGTTGGGGGGGAGCCCGCTGTAACTCACCAACCCACGGGTGGCCTGTTGGCTCCTTCGCCCAGTCCTGGGTCACTTCCTTCCCTCCGTCGCGCTCCCGGGTATCCCTGCGTCCCGGCTGTCTCGCCTTTCCTGCTCCCTGTTGCTCCGTCCAGCGGCACCCTGCTCCTTCTCCCCAGCCGCCACTGTGGCTCTCCCTTCCGGCCCGAGCTCTCCCTTCCCCCTCCCGGGTCGGTCCGGTATCTTTTGTGCCGCCCGCGCTAGGCTGCTCCACCCTCGCCATCGGCCGACTCCGCCCCTCCCTGCTGCGTCCCTCTGGCGTCGGCCTGTGCTCTTCCCCCGCCTCTGGGGGTGGCGCTAGAACACGCCGCACAGGGCCGCCAAGAGGGTGCACCTTCCCGGCAAACGCCTCCCCGGGGCTCCCGAGAGAGCGGGGCTCGGGGACTTCCGCGGCGTTGTCTGGCACCGCGCCCGACGCCCCGTCACAGGCTCTCCAGCGCTATTCATCACCAGATTGTCATTCTGTGCATTGTGGCTGTTCAGAAATCACTCCGTTGGACACACCGTTCCCAGCTTTCATGCCGATTCCCTCCTTCAGCTCAGGCTGCCTGCGGAACAAGGAGCAGCGATACATTTTATACCCCAATGGGGATTTTCTTTCGCTAATTTGTATGTAGAAAGAGATTTTGGTTTTGTAGACATCCTCATTGACCCCCTCATGTTGCATTGGATGAGCAGTGGTTATGAGAGAAGCTCTTTTCCTAAAAATCTGTCTGCCCATCTCTTTAGGTTTTTACAAGGTTGCCCATCACTGGGGTATCTGAGGAGCCTTTTGCAAGAAGCAACCACAAATCTCTTCCTTCCTGCCCAGTAAGGCAGGAACAATATTAAAGTTATAGTAGGGAAATGTTGTGTCCCTTCTGGACTCAGGAAAGCCAAAATCCTGCTCGTCCCAACAGATGGGATAGCAGGTCCAGTTGCTTTTTTCCCTTAAAAATAAAGCAAAACAAAAAGTCCTGCTGCACACGCTTCAGTTACTTTATCCATTGGACAAGAACGCTGCTTCTGAGCATCACAAATCCATCACGAACAAGATTTTTTTTTAAAAAACTGAGATTTCCTTGCCAGCAGTTACCTTACAATAAGAATATTGTCAGATGACATCATAAAAACATTGTCACTGAGTTTTTATAAAAAGTTAGTCACATAGGAGAGAGGAAAGATGGAACCGCCTTTACCATCTAGTGGGTAAAATCTAACCCATGACTTCATCTGTCCTGTTCTTAAGCTACACTTTTGTACAAGACTTACACCATGGCCTCTCACTTCATGGTTGTACCTACAAAGGAAAGTTGGAAAACGTTGGCTTTGTCAGAGCCAAAGGAGTTGACCGTTTAAGAAAGGGAAATCAGTGAGGGTCTGTTGGTACGTGTGTGAAGAACGCACAGTGCCAACGTAGGGCCCAGGGGGCGTGAAATCTATTTGTGAGGGGCTGCCCTGGATCCCACAGGCCTGTATCTCTGTGGGTGTGACTGCCTTAGGGCTGGGGGCAAGTTGTGCCGGGCAAGGTGATAAATGACGCCCTTCAGAACGCCTTTCCTCTGGGTCCCTCCCCCACAGTTGCTTTGTGAGCTGTCACACAAGCTAGGGGAAGCCATCCGTAGAGAACTGGGGAAGGCCTGAAATACACAGGGCAATACAAGGCTCTTTCTTGCACCATTTGCAGGGGGAGAGAGACAACACAAGTTCTTGTGAGTTGTCCCGGTCAGGCCTGGGGGAGCGAGATTGCCGCCTGACACAGACGGAAGGGGCTGGTAGTGCCCCCCCACGGGAACGGCACTTCGCCAGAGATGGACCAGCCTTGAGGCATTGGCTTGAATGCACCTTCTCTCCTGCTCTGCTTCGTGGAGGGCTGCGTCAGCCTAGCCCAGCGGGGTGGCTTTCTGGGGGGCTTAGTGCACAAGGGCCATTGGTTGCTAGGTGAGGAACACCTGGAGCGTGCAGGCAGTGCATCTTTGGGGGAGATTTGGTATTACGGCAACGCTGCACTGAGGCGCGTCCATACCGACTCCCACACGACTTGGTCCTGGTTCAGGGTCGGGTTAAGAGTCGAAGCGCCTGGGGAAGGAGTGACTCTGGGAAGCTCTGCCCCTCGGAGCTAAGAAGGGCGAGGCAGTATCCCAATACCGCTCTGTGACGGGGCGGACAGGCCCCGCACTAATGAGCAGGAGGTAGCTCAGGCCCAGCTGGCAGAGAAGGCCCCGCCCCTCCGACCCTGCTGGGCATGCTCCCAACAGCGGCCGGGTATAAAGGCAGGAGGAGCCCAGCAGGTGAGGAGGCCCCAGGGAGAAGGAGGAGGCCAGGCCGGACCGGACTTCTTGCAGTTGCTGGGTCCAGAGTCGTCGCCCGCGCTGAACCGGGACACGGAGAAAGCAGCCGCCGGCCCGGAGTGGCAGGAGCGCGCCCGCAACCCCGACAGGTCCTGCCTGAGAGGCGAAGGGGCCCGGAGGGAACCAGGGCGTGGTAGGAAGCAGCCCAGGGCAGGGGATACAAAGTTCGGCTCGGCGTGTATCGGCCGCGAGACTTTTGTGTTGAGACTTTGCTACCGTATATGCCCTGATAGAAGGGCCGAGACTTTTGTGTTGAGACTTTGCCACCGTATATGCCCTGATAGAAGGGTCGAGACTTTTGTGTTGAGACTTTGCTACCGTATATGCCCTGATAGAAGGGCCGAGACTTTTGTGTTGAGACTTTGCTACCGTAT